TTACCTAAAATATCCATAGACAAAAAAGTTACTACATTGTGGATAAAGGTATCAAGAATCCAAAAATGTTGAGTACATTAACGAAATAATCCATGTGCATGAGTACCCTAACAAAACCCCTTATTTATTTAACATGCAAGGTATAATAGCTCCGACATTGACACTAACGAATTTTTTTTCCTTTCGACAAAAAAGCTTTTATTGTTTTACAAATGAATAAATAAACTAATAGAGTCGTATATTTGATGTTATAAATAATTACTATCTCTAGTGATAGCCCATCGTACATTGAGACAAGTGTCAAGAAGTCACAGGGAAATCCCAAATGCTTCATGGAAACCCTATCATAGGAAAAGAACCTGTGACCTCAATGACCTCCATGAAGCTTGCAAAAACAACATATGATTTGTGTCCTAAATGTCTCATCTCTTCAAGTATGTCTTCCAATCCCTATGGCACCCATGTCTCCCAACTGTAGTTGCAAATGCATGTGCATTCTCAGGAGCGGGAGCAGGCTCGGTTCTACAGAACTGTGGATTGCTAAAAGCTCCTTGTGGTTAAAGAAATAATCCATGTTTATGAGCACCCTAACAAAACCCATTATTTATTTAAACATGCAAGGTATAATAGCTCCGACATTGACACTAATGACATTTTTTTTCCTTTTGACACAAAAGCTTTTATTGTTTTACATATGAGTAAATAGAGTCATGTATTTGATGTTATAATAATTACCATCTCTGGTTATAGCCCAGTACATTAAGACAAGTGTCAAGAAGACACGAGGAAATCCCAAATGCTTCATGGAAACCCTATCATAGGCAAAGAACCTATGACCTCAATGGCCTCCATGCAGCATGCAAAAACAACATATGATTTGTGTCCTAAATGTCTCATCTCTTCGAGTATGTCTTCCAATCCCCAAGGTGCCAATGTGTCCCAACCATAGTTGTCAAATGCCGATGCGTTCTCAAGAGCGAGAGCTGGCTCAGTTCTGTAGAACCGTGGACTGCTGAAAGCTCCTTGTGGTTAGGATCGTTGTATGTATGATCTTATATCAAGGGAGTATGATCCTTGTCACATGAAGGGCGATTCCATGAGGTAGGAATCACAATAGTAAGTTTTAAGGGATCGCGAATGATGCGTGGGTTCACAGTTCCATTGGGCACAAATCTGAAAAGTGCATATGAATCAGTCCCAACTAGAGAAAACATCATATGCACTGCATCATACACTTGAGAACCGCGGTTCAAACCTACTGGGAACAAGGATCACAATATAAAGATCTGCGTTCCATCCAAGATCCTAGCTAGAATCACGGGATCGATGTTCTAAAGCGGCTCCGTGACCTACAAGGTTCCAGTAACTATAGTCCCAAATCACCCATCTATCTGATCATGTGCATTAGGGAAGCTCTAAGCACAGTCACAGCTAATAGAAACCACCAACGAAAGTTGTCCTACGCGCTACCAATCAAAAGGTATTTCCTAGAGGGAAATATTGCTATTTCTGTGAACAAACTACTCAACCCGATCCCCATAACCACCAACAAATATAACAGACATAGGTTTGAAGCAATTGCTTGATCCTCAAAATTCTTAGGACAAATGCCAACAAACCATGAACGTGTTACTTCAACCCAATACCTAGAGGGGTTCAAGCACAATCAATGGGTGAATGGACCCAAAATCCATCCTCCAATGGATGTTCTTTGCGTAATAAGGAATGAATTGCATTGGAGGATGGAAAGCAACTACCTGTTTTCCAAGAAACATTATATTCTTTTCAGTAGACAATCCAAACGTACTAGTTCAAACAGTGTTTCAAAAAGTGCTACGCGGTCGGGGGGGTCCAAGCCGCCCAACGCCTAGGTGGGCGCCCAAAACCTGGGAGGTCAAGTAGAAAATTTTTTGGGCTTTCTCTCACTAAAATAGCCTCTAATGGGTTTTAGGTTTCAAATGAACCTAAAATCCACAATTTTACCCTTTTAGTATTAAAAAAATGACCCAAAAATACCCTCAGGGAGCTGCAGTTCCACCCCTAGGTGGGGATGCAAGCCCTGGGCGGCCGCCTAGGCAGGTTCAAGCGGGCGGCCGCCTAGGCAAGTTCAAGCGGGCGCCCAAGGATATTCGCCCAGGCGGCCGCCCAGGCGCTGGGCGGTCCGCTTTGAAACACTGAGTTCAAATCGTTTATATATAGTGAGAAAATTGAGTTTGAATACAGCACCTTCTCTATACTCGACGTATGAATTAATAAATAGAGATGCTCTAAGAGTCAAAATCAACTTTTGGGTTTGATAGGAAAAGGTTGAAAGTCTACCCTTTTAGCCCAAGTAACAAGAAAAATAGAATCCACAAAAACTAATTAAACATTGGTGTTCACTTGATTAGAGTGTTCTCAATTGGACCTATTTCATCCAGCCATCCGATCCCGAAACGGTATATACAACAGTACCAACCAATCAATAGAATAACAGTCTTTTTCCCCTAATCTAAGCAGACTAAGTGTCCCCTTCCCCCAAATTCAGCCAAACCTTCTCTAGACATATGGATGCTTTTGTGATCCCCAACATAACCTAACACAAACCCTCAAACACCCAACATCCCCCCTTCCTCCTCCCAAGAAGGGAAATAAAATTGGGAAGGAGGACTGATAGGGTTTAGAAGAGATAAACACCTTTCAAACCCTCCCGCCTTCCATGCAATACCAACCAAATGACAAAATACCTTGGCATAAAAACGAGCTAATAGCCTCTCTTTAAGAAATGGCAATTTCGTAAAGTTCAAGAAGAAATACAGCATCCTCAAATGACCTATTTACACTGTTTTAGCATCAGCAATAGCTGAAAGAAGTTCATCTACAGTCCTCACCTCAGATGCAACAGAAATTAACAAGTTTTTAGAAACATAATAATTCAGATATTAACATGTTTTAGACATTAAACATATTAAAACATTTTAGACATAATACATATTAACATATTAACTCCACCATGGCCAGTCCCAAACCGATCATGCCGATCCCATGCCCATATAGAGGAGAAGGATTGTGCTAGGTAGGCAGCCAGCATAAAACTTTGCCACATCTTATTATGAATCTTGAGGCGATACAGGAATTCGGCAGCCGATCCCAAACAGTTGAGATAAGGCCCAAATGATGATGATGAGACATATTAACAGGTTTGTATCCAACTACTAGTCTACCCAAAGAAAGCTTTCAAAACAAAATAATTCAGATCGAGATAGACCAGTAGGTCTACCATTTGTGGAATTTCCTTCTGCCATGAAGAACGGTCAATTCAGTTTATTTTGTGGGGTGGGAAAATGAGATGCTGACTGAATCGTAAAAACCTAGTCCACAAACTCTATTGTAACCTATCTAGCAACTACAAATCTCAACAAATTTCACCCTTTCAATTTGGCATCCTGCACCATGTTTTCGTAATGAGAGGTCCCAGCCAGATTAAGATTTCTTCAAAATCAATAGAAACACGTCAATGTTAACACAATCCACACACACCGAGAAGCCTAAAGATGCAAATATGAAGACTGGAGCAAAAGTTTGCACTTACTACTTCCCTAACTTTTGTCCACGTGCATTACATCTTCCTCAACCATTCCCATTTCATAAGGTTTAACAGCCTCCAAATCGCAGCACTTTGGTGCTAGAGATTGCCCCAATCAAATCTCACTGGCCAAAAAGTTATATATAGAAGATAAAGAATGCACCTCTAGCAAAATACATGCATTCATTCCACTTCTACCTTTTTTAATACTTCAATCTTTAATAGCTCTAACAGTCAGTCCAGCAAATTATAAGGATATTACATAAGCCCTACAGTAAAAGAGAAGAAAGACTTGTATATTGTATACCATGCTATAGGCTGAAGTATCACCAATCAAAGGTCACCCGCCAAAATGTTAGATATAGAAGATAAAAATACACCTTGAGAGAAAATGCACATGCATTCTTTCCTCTAATTTTTTTAATACTTCAATCTCTAATAGCTCTAATGATAAGTCCAACTAATTATTAGGATGATACACAAGCCCAAAAGTAAAGGAGAAGAAAGACTTGTATATTGTACAACACACTATAGGCAGCAATAAAGAAAATACTCATAACGTAATCTAAATTTGACTGCTACAACATACTGGAATTTCTTTTTCAATAAATGCTACAATAACTTTTACAATATTCAATTATAAAAAATAACACTGTATAAATAGCTGTGTTATATTATAATATTCATAAATAAATAGCAAGAAGATCAATTCATAGAAACAAATTTTTCTTCTGCCCTTTAACCTCCTAAAAAGACCCCAAGTACACTGGGATTCAAGCATCTCTTAAAGGAATGAAACTTTTTCACTTTAAATTTTATAATGACTTTAGACATACTACCATATTGGACCCCAACAAGGAGAGAAACCTCCCTTTTCATGTGTTTCACGACTACCATTTTTTCAGTTTATTGTGCTCGGTATGATTCTATTCCAGATGAGAGTGTGTGATTCATGTGAATGGTATCAGTATCATGATATAAGAACATGAAATAATTAAACTAGTAAAAGTCCAAGCACAATAGTTATAGCCAAGGTTTCCGATGATTTATGAGAAAACATTTGGGTATCAGTATCATGATATAAGAACACGAAATAATTAAACTAGTTAAAGTCCAGGCACAATAGTTATAGCCAAGGTTTCTGATAAAATAAAACTGCTTGGCAAAACTGCTTTCACAATCATAAAAATACTCCCAAGAAAGAATACTCAATATCATGCCATAAAGATCAAAGTTCAAAAATATTAAAGCTCCACAGATAAAATATTGAGTGAAAAAACACTGCAATTCTTCAATAATGTATGACGTCTATATAGTGAATCCATATCTCAAAAACAGGGGTCTTTCAAACTTGGAGACATACAACCAGATATTTTTCCATGCCAGTGAAAGACAACTTTAAATAAGTGAAATGGGAAAAGAAAAGGAAGCATACAATCTCAGTTGGCTTGTTTTGCTTGTATTCCGTTCTCTTTGACTCTACAACCTGTTCTAATGTCTCTTGATCCCAGTCCTCCATCGTTTCTATAAAGAAAAGCAAAAACAAAATTTACAATCACACTCATATGCAATAGTTCGTAAATGATTTTGCACAAGTAAAGCACTAAGCAGAGATAGATAGCCAGGTTAGTGGTTAAAAGTAAAAAGAGCTCTGACCTTGATCACGCTTATCACTATAAATGTCAATCTTTTCGCCTTTCCTCTGAACGTTCAAATCATGCGAAAACTTACACTTGAATCCCTTGGCGCACTGCCCAACTTTGAAGAATTCGCATAAAATGGACTTAGGATCAACACCTGGGCAACGGCCAACACCATTCTCTCATCAATCCAAAATTGAATATTAAAAGATAGAGAGAGTGAGAGTGGACAGAAGCAATCAACATACCAACTGGGACTTTAGGCTGAGTAACAGCAATCTTAAACAGGTCATTCAGCTCCTTATCTTTAGCCTTCTCATCTTCCTTCTTTTTCTGCTTAGTATTCAACAAATATATTCATAATCAAACAAAATTGTAGATTTCGGAAGAAACCCAATTTACTAGATGTGGTTGTTTCCATATAAAATACTAAAAGATAATAAAAAAAATAGAAGAAGCCCAATTCCAGCAAGTTGTTTATTTCAACAAAAAAAAATTACATTGAAAAGAATAGCAATAATTATTATTATAAGAATAACAATAATCATAATAATAATAATCTAAAAAATCAATATAAAAGGTTTTGGAGGAGTGAAATTCGTCCAAGTTGATAAACAAGAAACCCATCATATGAGAATAAAATACATAGCTAACTATAAAGAAGAAGAGATGATGAACAAGAATGTGGGTGATGAAAAGGAAGGAGAAAGTCTGCAACTGCGATGAGTAAAAAGGAAAATTAACATGGAAAAGGGGATACCTTGGCTGCTATTTTCGAGGGATCGGTTTTGGGTTGAACAGATTGCTGAAGGCTCTGCACATATTTCTGGACATTTTTGCTCTTGTTTTTGTTCTTGAGGCCGAAGGTCTTGTCCTCAACCACCTTCTGCTTCTTTGCAAGCTCTGCTTTGGATTGCTTTGGAGGCATGATGAACAATCATCAAAACTCAACCCCAAGCCCAAGCGATCAAGATTAAGCACCTCCCTCTCTCTCTCTAAGACACAAAAAAACACCCCACCCAAAAAAATTTACTTTTATTTACAGATGATACAGAGAAAATTTCCCAACTTCCACCCTTTAAACCTCTCTCAAGATTTCTCTTTCTTCTATAGTGGTTTGATTATGGACAAGAGGCCTGTCGATGAGAGAGAAAGTATGGGGAAGCGAGTGACGAGTGAGAGTGGGTTTTTCTGGTTCTTTCAGTTCGGTTTCTCTCTCCTCACAACTCGATGATTCCTCCAATAACCGATGATACTCTTAAATATTTTCTTAGGGCTGAAACACTATTAAAATAATCAAAGCCTCGCCTTATAATTCATCAAAGTTTGCAATTTAAGAGCTGGAAAAACTTTTAAATCGATCATCTCACCTTGAACACTGGTTATGCAAAAAAGAAAAGTTAAGATTTTAAATTTTATATATATATATATATGGAAAAAGCTGGGATTAGCTCACTTATGTGAATATATGAGCCTAATTATTTAGATCGAATCTGGGCCGATTTGACGAACACGGATATCCAATAGCTCACCAGCTCACAGCTACAAATGAGCTTAATGGCCCAGATTAAATCTGGGTCAATCTGATGATTATGACCATTTTTTGTATTTTAATTTTAATTTTTTTTATACAAATCGAAAGTAATTGGAATTTTGGCCGTAAATTCTTTAGAAATTGAAGAATCCAATAAAATATCAAAAAAATAATTCATAAAAAATAAAGCAAATTACTTTTTAAATATTTTTATTATGTACGCCTTGATGAGAATAATAGACGTCTAAAATTTCAATTGATTTTGATTTATAAAAAAATAATTAAAATTTAAATACGAAATAAAATCGTGACCGTCAGATCGGCTCTATTG